AAGCACTGCAGACAACAACAACAAAGTTCCACCAAAACTTTCATCTCTATTCTTGCAGAACCAATCATCATTTCGATTTTGCAAAATCCTCCGATGGTCCCCAGCTCTGTATTGTTATATCTTTGACCTTCTCAACTCCAGTGTTATTAAAGATTGTAACCTTGTCTGGCTCACTATTCTTACATTCTCCATCTGCTCTTGGCTTGGTATTGTTAAAAATATTTTTGAATCTTAAAACAAGTTTGAGAAATTCTGTATCATATTTTACTTACTGAGCATGACCAGTAAATAGAAGATAAATTATATAATAACAAAATAGGATATGCATGTTTCTTTGTAGTGAATCATGATTCTGCAGCTAAATTTGTACAATTTGAATTCTGAACCAAATTCTGTCTAATACAGACTTTTTGCTTGGAACTAGCTACAAATCCAAGAAGCTGTGACATTTCTTTCTTTTTTATTTCTCTTTCCCTAAGGAACTCATTCTTTCTTGTAGACAGTGGTAACTCAAGTAATAAATTTTAAGATCAGCAGTAAGAAAATACTGAGGAATTCTGAGGTCCTATGATTTTTGGAAAATCATGTGGGCAGAATACTGAGCACTGTTTATGCTTTTTTAGTTCTTGTGTAATGTACCTGACTATATCCTGTAAATCCACAGTAATTCATTTGAATTGATTTAGATGTAGGGAAAGGTCAAGGAGTCTAAATAAAAATCAGGGCTCCAGAAGAAACCTGGTTGACTCATCCTTGAGATGTAAAGTGATGGAAGGAATTAGGAAAATGTTAGGAATGCTAGCTTCCAGCTTCTACAATTTAAAAATCGTAACACAAAAGTAATTCCAATCAAACTGTCATTCGAGCCCTTGTTAGAGAATTTGATGCAAATTGCTTTGAAACAAGCATGCTCATTTTTTTCTGGCTTCTTTTCAATTGCAATGAATTGCAATTGCAAAGAAACTGGATTTAGATGTATATTTCATATAGTAGTAGCCTTTATGATCTGGAAGCCATTTCTGCTGTCCAGGATTAAGCTGTAAACTGTAAATGAAAGCCATAATAATCTAGCCGAGCATAATGTAAACGCATCAGCCATAAAAATCATAAATTTGTGCATCATTAATCAAATAGTATGGTTAATATGATACTGTCATCAACAGATAGAATAAAATAGTTATGAAATAATAAGTTGAGGGTGAATGACAAATATGATTGTGATACTAAGCTGTTTTTGGTTTAATACAGGCATGGGTGACTCAGACATTGGTATCGATGCGATCACAGTCCCAAGAAAAGATTTCTCAAAGGCCTGTATTTCACTTCTGAGTGTAACATGCAATCACACAAAGAAACCTGCCATCAAAGTTGAGTTGTCCAGTGATTCACAACTATTGCATGTTATTATTTTTTCAGGGGAGGGGGTGTTGTTCCCCACCATATATTGTGTTTGGTGTAGAACATGATGATGAAATAACAAAACATTTCTCTATATTTAACTGTTTAACTCCCTGCTCAGTTTGGTTTTTTTTTAGGAAAAGCACCAAATTTGCAAAGCACTTGTTTTAAACATTCGTACCAGGACTTTTGCAGTGTGATGGAGATTCTGCCCCCTATTCCAAATTACGCTGGGACCTGAATCTAGAAGTCATGTCCCCATTTCAGATAGAGCCAAATTTTAGCTAGGATTTGGGTGGGAGGAAGGAGGGCTAGCCATATTTTACATATTGGGAAAAACTGAATTCAGCAAGGTTATTTGAACTCAGTGCTGAATTCAAGCAGATCCAATTTTTACTGGAGGAAGGTTCATTTTCCACAGTGTATGATTTATGACTTTTAAGAATTGACATGATTGCACGTAAAAATTGAATCAGATCTGTGGAACTGTCGAAAGCGTCAAGTTATTTAAATGCCCTGTTCTTTAAATTTTGATTTTGAAACCAGCCTGACGTGCCTCTGAGTTGAAAGAAAACTCGTGTTTGCAGTTTCAATTATTGTTTGTTGACATAAGCCTGAAGGCTATCATTAGACCATTATTACTATCTGATTACTTCCACAACTTGTCCTTATTAAATTGGGGATTGTAAATTCAGTTTGATTGACAGCTGCAAGAGCTTATTAAGAGATCAGCTTTCTTTGATGTGGAAGTAAGTGTTTACTTTTTATATTGAATTAAATACTTTAAGGGAGCTGTTGAGAAGAATATTGTAGATGCATTAGGGTAATTATGAGAGGAGATAAGGTAGAAAGGAATACATTGTTACATTAATAGAGTCAGGTGAAGTAAGGCAGCTGAAGACTTGTGGGAGTCATAAATTCCTATGTTGTCCATTAGAACTACTGTAATCTAGAAAAAAACAGCTAGAACAATCCCTTTAAAAATTAGAATATACCATCCTCTTCCCTTAAAGTTTGAATTCCTCCAAGGATTACTGGATATTCCCACCAACATTTCCTGACACTAATATTTATAAGTGGAGGTTGGGTGCAGCAGTTGAGACTGTGCTGCTGTGACTAAAATAGTTATAGGACATGAATTGGGAATTAAGGATGTTGCAATCTGGAAAATGGCCACTACACATTATAAGATTTTGAGATATAAATTGAAAGACTTAAATCAATTACATTTGTAGACTGAGTTTGAAATAGATAATCTAAAAATATAATAAATTAGTTAACCAACCTATTCCAGATACAAATACATTTTCACAAGTTTTACAGATCTTATTAATTTCTGACTTGCTTGCTTTGATAAAATGATATTTCACAACAACCGTGGCTTTCAACCAATGCATTTTTAAAACCGGGTGGTGATACTGGTTGACTGGGCGCAAATCTGTCTTGTTCCATTCAGCTGCCTTACTTCACCTTTTGGTCTTTCTTCTTGACCACTGAACCACTAAAAATCACTGCTTATTAATCCTTGCTAGCCACTACCCTCTGTGCACGATCGGAGACAAGTTAAACTCTAGTTAGCTTACCATGAAAGTTCATAGTTAATCTTGGATTGGCTAGGTAGTCTTCCAGTCTTGCCTTGTCATTCAGCCAAGAGGACTGGTCTTTGCCCGGAGGCTCCCAACATAGTGAGTCAAGGGCAACTTCTGATGACAGTCCAAGCACTGCTCAGAGCAGTCGAAGTCAGCATCCCATCCTCCTAAGGAACAAGCAGCTGAATGACAGATAGCACACCACCTATCGATCTGCCCTATTGTAGGCTGTTTTCATCGTAGATTGAGAGAGTGGTGGGCTTTAGGGGACATTAAAGTAGGAAGCCTAACTGTTAGTTTTACTGCAGATGGGGAAGTGTCCTGAGCAAGTGAGTAGGCAGTGCAGAAGCATGTAGGGTTAGTGGTGTCAGGGATTGAGGTGGGTTAGAGTAAATGGGGAAAATGTTGCAGGTAATAGTGGGAGTGATGGAGCATGGGCCTTCGTGGGAGATGGGTACAGTTGCAGAGATAGATCGAGTGTGAGATGTCAGAGAGAAGGAGGTGACGCATATCCTGGTGGACTGGAGAATTATATTGACCATCTTTCTATAGTGCTGGATATTGCTGCAGATGGCTAAGAGAGCTTTAACCCAATTGGCAACATCAATGTCATCATGATACTTAGAAATATTTCACAGCATCTTCAGTGTTGCTGGATCAAGGTCCTAGAACACTGTCCCTGACAGCATTGTGGGTCTACCTACAACAAATGGACTGCAGCAGATGGTAGCTCATTACCATCTTCTCAAGGGCAACTAGGGATGAGCAGTCAATGCTGATCCAGCCAGCAACACCCACAAACCTGTGGGTTTGGAAGATGCTATCTTGGGAACCTTGATGAAATCCCGCAGTGCATCTTGTAGACAGCGCGCACTGCTGCTACTGAGTGTCCATGATGGAGGGAGTGAATGGTTGTGGATATGGAGCCATTCAAGAGGGCTGCTTTGGCCTCGGTGGTGTCAAGTTTCTTGAGTGTTATTGGAGCTGCATCCATCCAAGTAAGTGTAGCGTATTCCATCACACTCCTGATGTGTACCTTATAGATGGTGATGAGGTTCTGGGGAGTCAGGACGTGGTTACCTGCTGCAGGATTCCTAGCCTCTAAGCTACTCTTGTAGACACAGTATTTATATGGCTAGTCCAGTTCAATTTCTGGTTAATGGTAAGCCCATATTGTTGATAGTGGAGGACTCAGTGATGGAAATGCCTATGAATGTCGAGGGCCAATTGTTAGATTCTTTCTCATTGAAGATGGTCACTGCCTGCTATTTGTGTGACACGAATGTTACTTATAATTCTCAAGACCAGGCTAGTGGCTTGTCACTGTATGCCCAGTGCACTCTCCTGGGAAACACCTTCAGAGTGGATTCCTTCGTCTTCCATTCTTGCATCAGATTTTCTCTAATACTGAATTCCCTCACTGCTGCAAGGTTATTTACCTTTGTTCAAAAGCAGTTTCATATTTTGTTCATTTCTCTGAAGGATTTATTTCTCTTTTTCGCTCTCCATGTATTGTCTGCTCTGTGTGAGCATCTTAAACTCCCTTGCATCATCTTCACAAAACACTCCACACTACCTACTTCATCCAATCACACAATTTAGATGATAAAGTGAGCAAAACATGCATTTCTGTGTGAAGCATTAAAGCCAACTACCATTCTGAATACAACCTCTCGTAGTTGAAAAGGAGAACTGCCTTATGTGCTGAGTACACATAGGGGCCTAAAAAGGGTTCTCTTATACACCAAGTCAAATTATCTGCCAGGTTCTATTGTAATCTAGCCGAATACCTTTGCTAATTCAGATGTCACATTAAACTAAGGCTTGAAAATATGTATATTATCCCGTGCAACTAATTAGTAAGAACAGGAAGTTTTCACAATGTATTGGCTAATGGCTATCCTTCAACCAATCCCATGAAAATCCTCTTGTTGTTTTGGGATATTGTAATGCATAAAATATTTGCTGTATTTTTATACACAAATACAAGTTCTTCTGTTTTTTCTTATCCAGTCGCACTGAAAATCTTTGATGTAAACTGGAATGTCAAATCAACCTTGCACTGCCTGCAACCTCCTTTGACGTAATAATTATGTATGAAGATTATGAAGAGGAAAAGAGATGCAAAGATCATAGCTTACTTCAAGATATAAAAGACTGTAACTTGAGAAGTTGCCACATGTAATGTAAATAAATAAGTACCTAATAATAAATGTATGACTATATATAAATAAAGAAAATGAAATAACATCAGGTTTTGTTATGTAGCCATAGTCCCACACTCTGGTTAGAGAGAGGCGGGGACTGCTGGTAATTTAACTTGAGGGTCACTACACTTCACACAAGTTGCAATGTTGAGAAGGAGAGTCCTTCATAGTAACCTCAGCCAGTGCAGTTGGCATCTACACTGTTGGCATCTCTCTGCATTGCAAACCAGCCAACTGAGCTAACCGAGCTCCATTTAAAGTATACACAGGCCAAGTAAGGTGATTTTTCTTTGCACCTGTTGTCTCCAAGCTACAATTCAACTGATTTGTTTTTGTGTTTCCAAATATGTTAGTTATGTGGAATTTTACTGTGTGAAGGAAGTATATAAATCATATAATTATTTTTGTTGATAAATTGTTTCTTGTATCAGCATTTGAAATATGAGCAGCTTTTTAAGCAAACCCAGTTGAACCATCAAGAAAAATATCTACTCAGCAAAAAGCCTGAATGACTGCTGACTAAACAGCTAAAGAGCTAAGTCACTGAGCTACATTGACTTTAAATACAACTGCTGGAGTGTAGACAATTATTGAAATTGGAGCATTCTTGAAAAATCAGCTATTTTTATCCTAATGCCATCAAAAATCATAAATTAATTTTAACTAAGTGGAAAATTCTCATTGGGGCAAGCATTTGATTTGTTGTGTGTGATAGGTTGGAACAGGAAAAGAAATTTCAATTAAAGTCTTGCCATGATATACTGATATTTAGAACTGCAACGAAGTAACATAATATTAAGGATGCATGGAGTGTATTAATAATACAACTTAAATTCTCGAAGAATCGGTTATTTTCAAAAGCTTTAGTTTCAAAACAGCAAATGTTTTATGTTGTGATTTAAAAAGAAATTCAGACCAGGGTCCAATGGCATTTTACCTGCTGGCTTAGACCTAAACACACACATTATTTTAAGCCCATCTTTTACATTCCACATGGGATTTGGAAGTTCAGGATTGATTCTCTGGACCTCACAAGAAGACTTTGGACCTCCCTTAAAGTGATACTCTATCAGAACCACCTCCCTGTGATTTACCTGAGTAGCAGTGACCATTCCATTGGCCTTTTACTAACTGCCAGTCAGCTACCATTTTCAATACATTTCAGATGGGAAGCTGACTGTGAAGTGTGTGTGTGTGTGGGGGTGGGGGTGGGTGCATTGAAATGAGTTGAGCCTCATACAGTCAAGCTTAAAGGGTTTTGGTCTCATCTTACAATACAAGCCATCTCCCAAATGCTCACTTCCCACTCAGGGTTAAAATTGGAGCTCGTGTTTAAACTCAGATATCTACCAACCCCTGCTGTCCTATGAATTGAATTCCTTTAAAGCAAACATTACCTTAAAAGCAGCCACAAATTGCAAACACGTGACACCATTGGCTGCATAATCTCCCCTTTAATGTATTATCCGAATACCTGACAATTGTTCCTCTTAATGAAATGTATTGACTGCTATCATGCCTTAATTTTCTCAGTTCTAAAGAATAAAACCCTAACTGCGCAGGATCATCTTCATCACTGTAATCCTCATCTCTATTGAAATCCAGGTGAGTCTGAATGGCCTCCTTTTCGAAGCTTGATTCTCACTGTAATTAAATTGAGATTCATTTCACTACTTGAACTCATTCTTTCACAAAAAGTGGACTCCTGCGCTAAGTGGCACATTAATGACGACAGTGGAACCACATGGAATAAATCAGATCTCAATTCCCGACTTCAATATAAAGCATAATTCATGTGATCTGAGCAGAGATAGTTGTAAAAAGTCTATAATTGAGCTAAATAACCACAGGGCAAGAAAGGGACATCAGTCAGGATTCTGATTGCTATTCACTGAACCTCGTGGCAAAGTGCACAGGACTGTAACTCCCTCAGGACGGGTGGGTGTCAGATTCTGGTATGTGTGTCAGGATGTAAATGTCTGGAGCTATCGCTGCTAACTCTGTTTATGGAGAGGTACCATGTTTTGTATGTAAATTGCAGGTACCCATCATATCCCGCATGCCAAAAAAAATACCAAGATGTCAGATTACCCAGTACAAATTGTGGTAAAGGCACATTTAACAACAAAATGTTAAGATGACACAGAGAGATGACTGTGCAGATGTGCATATGTTTAGAATGGAATTTACGCTCCATCTCACTGATCACCAATGGGCGGCATGTAACTGATGTCAACTGGTTAACTCACTCCTGACCTGGTCCCCATAAAATGGTAGGGAGGCATTGTTTATAACAAAGCAGTTAATAGCCAATTGACCTGAATGTTACACTACTGACACCACAGTACAGTCTCGGGAGTCGGAATACCCTTTTCTTTATCCCAACTGCTTAATAGGTGCGAAGAAAGGGGGCTATGTCCTACACGGGGGTGCCTTGTGTGCGTCAGGAGAAAGGAAGTTACTCCCTCCATTATCACCTCCTGCCTGGACACCAGACTCATCCTTCTACCCCACACCCCAGGATCTCCAACACCTTCATGCCTAAAAGGCCCTTGCGTCCAGGATCCATCCTCGATCTCCACAGGACTTCCTGCTGTCCCAGAAGCACCCACTACTGAATTCTGACAATGTTAGAGCTGCCAGCCATTCAGATTGGCCTCCAGTTCTTGGGGAAGGGCTGAACTTCATCCTGCTGAGGAGTCATTGACATAGTCATTGGATACTTTTGAGACAGAGGTAGAGAAATACAAGAATAACAAAGGATTCAAGGATTATCTGGGGCAGCCAGGAATGTGGAGTTGAGACCACAATCAGACCAGCCATAATTTTATTAAGTAGTGAAGCAGTGTTGAGGGGCTGAATAGTCTACTATTGCTCCTAATTTGTACATTTGTATATTTGTATGAGGAGCAGAAGTCTGACCTTCACCTTCTTATACTTGCCTGCAGCGAGTTAAAGCTGCAGTGTATCTGTTTAACGTTGCGTTTTTTTTTCCGGACTGGTCTTTCTTTACAGTACACACCCCGTAAAATTCCTGGGTTATGCCTTCTACACTGATTGGTGCCAGAGGAGCGTTACTTGGGTAGAAGTAAATCTGTCAAGCAGTTTCTTGTGTCTTTGAAACCTACTTGTGATCAGCTTTATTTGATTTTTTAAACTGGCCTTGATCTTTCTTTGTCTCCGTTTAGGGTTCAAAGCAAAAAGCGGCATCAGATTAATTCAATGAATCTCTGTTTCACCAGGCAGCCAGAAAAACTGGGACGAATGAAATGCCCCTCGTGAATGCAAAACTTCAAATAAAAACCTCACATCACATTCGCTGAAAATAGACTTGTAGTTTTAGAGAGAATTGCCAGTAAAAAAAGAAACTAACTATTGTAATATTTTGAAACAGGGGCTTGGGGCTAAGTGAAGTTCTGGAATTTGGTGTATGTGTTCTTGCTTGTATTTCATTTCTCAGTAGTATTGATTTGTAGTTTTCCAAACTGTCCTGTATCCATCAGTCAAAGAGATTAAGAGTTCACAGTGTTAGCCCTCATACTTCCGGAATGTATCGTATTGATAAAAGGATTCGTTGCTGAGGCTGTGATTCACTATTCCAAGTACAGGTTTTTTTTTTATTGCCAGTACTAGCCTCTCATACGAACACAAAAAAAAGAAACAGTAGGCCTTTGGCACTTTGAGACTGTTCAGCCATTCAGCAAGATAATGACTGATCTCCCACTTTTGCATAGTATCCCTATATCTATGTATCCAAAAGTCTAGCTGTTTTCAAAATACTCAATGGCTGGTCATCTCCAAAATTCCCCACTTATTGAGCAGAGAAATTTCTCCTCTTTTCATTTACAAAAGGGAGCTTTGCACTGGGTATGATAAAGTAACAGAGGGCAGACCTGAAACATAGCAGCTTTTATTGCCAGCACTGGGACATTGGATTCAAAACTTTTTCCAGCAGGAAGAACGTCATCAAGCGAAAAGCTCTCCAATCTGGTGTCAATGTTTCTTCCATTCCCTAGACCTAAAAGAACCAAAAAAAGTTGTGAAAACATGAGCTCTGTCACATGATCTGAAAACGTCTGCAACAGAAATGTGTATGCTCCAGCAGAGAGTCTAAATGAAACGGATTCTACCCATTTCTGTTGCATTTATTTCAACAGAGTAAAACCCAGACTGATATTATTAATGAGTAAGCAATTACAGTGAACTTTTTATTAGCTGGCAATTATGGGACCAGAAGTGTGCTGGTTGATCAAATATTATGGATAATCAAGAGGTACGCATAACTGCAGTAAACTCTGACCAAGTTTCAAGACATCAACATCTTTCAAAAAATCTATGTAAAACATCAACATACGTCCTAAACGCAAAGTAAAAATGCATATTAAGAAATAGAAACATAATGAATTAAGTATACACATCACTGTTATACTTTTTTATTTACAGCATAAATACTGAGACATTGCTGTAGACTTTGGTATTTGAGGTACATAATTTTTGCTGGATTATCAAGAGTGCCAGTTGATAAGGTGCTGGTTAAAACAAAATTTGCTGTGCTTTGCCCGGTTACCACCCAGAAGCTGGAGTTGAAATTAACCTCCCCAGAAGTTACAAAAACAAACAGATTGAGCTCATTTCTAAAGCCTCTCTTGCTCCACTAGTAACTTTTGGCTGAAAAATGGGGAAATCAACTTTTAGCCGGTGAAGATCTGAGGAACTTCATCCCCAAAATATAAGCATGAAGCTAGGAAGATGTCACACATTTTATATTCACCAGTTTTTAAGGGAAACATCAATTAGTACAAATTGGGCACAATCCTTTGCTCATTTTACCTCACATCACTAACGCTGAAATGAAAATAATCCTCAATTACCGTGTTCCAACTTACAGCCAGTATTTTGGGGTTTTTTTGTGTATATTGTTACTGCGTACCCAGTCATTTTCATTC